AGAAAAGGGGGGGGGGGGGTTCTCCCGAACCATAAAAAAAAACCCTGGATACGGGCCTGCTATTTCGAATTTCTGGATCTGCCACTGATCACACCCTTATCCAATCTGACACTAAAATGCAATACAGCTGTGCGACCCAAGAGAGGGGAATTACGCGTGCAGTGAGCTAATTTATATCTGTTGTAAATATAATAACAAGGGGATTTGTGTCGCACGGATCCAGTTCATCTCGTGTTTCTGAAAAGGCCGAACAACCATGAAAATGCTGTCCTCGCTGGTAAACGAGTAAAATTAACGGACAGTTAAATAAATCTGATTAATATCAGAAACGATAGTATAATACATACTCTAAGTATCGAACTGCACGCCATCGTGTCTCGGGATTCAATATTTCTACATTAATTATGTCATTATCAGGAATGTCATCATTGTCACAATACTTGATGTTGACATAATTAATGTCGAAATATTGAATCCCGACACGATGGCGTGCATTTCGATACTTGGAGTATGTATTATACTATGTTAAATAATACCGTACCTTAAATTCTTTTGCATAGCCAATTATTCAAATTGGTATGGGTACCGGTAATCAATTAAAGAATTGATGTTGTTGGCAATTATTCAGAAATAATTTAAAACCATTTGACGCGAGAGTTCTAACAGTGAAACAAACCATCTTTTCATCTTTATATTTTTTTTTACCTCAACTCAATTTCAATTTAAAATATAATAGGCCTACTGTAATAATTAATCAGATAAAACATTATATTAATAACAATAGATGATGATGATGATGATGATGATGATGATGATGATGATGATGATGGATGGATGAATGAATGAATGATGATATTGATGATGATGGTGATGATAATGGATGAATTAATTAATTAATGATTCTATGCCTATGGATGAATGAATGAGTGATGATAATGATAATAATGATGATGATGATGATAATGAAGTATAAAATGTTATGATGATGATGATGATGATGAAATAATCAATGTATGATAATAGTCCTAATTAGGTTTTTAAAATTATTATTATGTGTTTATTGTTAAAAATATTAGAGATGTTTTTCAAAGATGTGCTTTAAGGCCTACATAAAAAGATGATAAAATACAATATTAGAATAGGCAACACACAATGAAAATTACAAATATATATAAAAAGACTAAAAAATGTGTTTTATTATTATTATTATTATTATTATTATTATTATTTAATTACATCATTAAAATAATAAAACAATTGAAAATTCATAATCAACGAAATAAATATAATCAATTACCTAAACTATTATATACAATTATATCCGAAATTCAATACAATACAGATCAATTAAAAATGTAAATTCAATATCTACAATATGGAAAAAGAATATCAATTAGGCCTCCAAATGGAAAGAAAATAAAATATAATTATTACAATCATTGAAATTAATTGAACATTTGTAAATTCACTATTAATTATTACATTAGAAGTACAACCATTTTCATGAATATTTTTTTAATGAAATTATAGCATTTAACATGTTTATTTATGTAATATACATTATTACATTATTTATTTATATATTATATTTTATTTTTTGAACGAGGATGTTGTTAAACATGGCGTAACTAGGCTAGCAACACAGTTTATCAGAACGTGCTTCGCGTGTGTTTATTTTGGCCACCACTCTTTTTGATGCAAAACTGCTTTTAAAAAACCACGGTATGACAACTGATTTGCTAGTGTTTTTTTTAAAATACTTTAAGCCCCTATATATAGGCCTAGTTCTGGGCTAGCTAGGGCCTCTAGGCCTAGGCTAGATGAATTCTGACCTGTCTAGGCCTAGCCACCGACACGGGTGACATACTGTAATTCACCGGCACAAGGCCCTCTCTAGGCCTAGGCTATATAAGCTAGGCAGACTGCCCCTAGGCTTTGCCTAGGCTAGGCCCATACATTTACTGGGGGCTAGGGTCTAGGCATAACCTAGTAAATTTACTAAACTGCATATAGGCCTAGGCCTAGCAGCGTGTATGCCCTAGGCCTACGCCTGCCGTTAGTAGTAGGCCTAGTAGTAGTAGTAGTAGGCGTAGGCCTAGTAATAGTATTACTCAGGCGTAGTATAGCCTAGGCTTAGAGGGCCTAGTACATGGTACTCTACTAGGAGACTAGCTAGGCTAGTGTACTACATATCCTAGGCCTGGGCATAAGTATTACAAGCCTATATAGCTAGGTAAGGTAGGACAAATAAAGATTTATTTATTATTGTTATTATTATTATTATTATTATTGTTATTATTATTGTTTTCCAATATTTATTGTTATCCAGAACCTCACTGCTGTTCTTTTTGTTACCAGAACTTATTAATCCTAGCAATTGCACAAAAACTAGCATTCAGCACAATTTTGAAATACATTTACTTGTTTGTTTCTTCTTTATCAATGATTAAACCCAATTATGTTTTTAACTGTTTCCACCTCATCGTTTCCACTTTCTTTCTATAAAAATATTTTAATGATCAGTTTTTCATGTAAATCAGTTTTAAGTACACTGTACATCATTACTTTCTCATTGAGATCTCAGTGTCTCATTGATGGACATTGCAATTTACTGTGTATATTCACGTATAAGACAAAGCTTAAAAAAGCAAATTACGATAAAAAAAACTGGGGGTCGTCTTATACACGTGACATACAAATTTTAGATTTTTAAAATCATTTTTGTCTTCTGGGCAGATCATCCGTAACACACGAATTTACTACTGCAAGGAAGCTACTAAAATGTTTATATGATTGAACGCAATAAATATGGGGAAATAAGATTTTGATGAACATTTTGAGCATTTAAAATCTCATAAAATGGTATTATTTGGAAGATTAGCCCTGCATTTGGTTCCATTTTTAGCCGGCTAGATGCAGTATCAAGACCAAAAAGAGCAGGAAAAAGTATGAATTCCAATGGTGAAACGTGGGTCGTCTTATACATGGGCCGCCTTATACGCGAGTATATACGGTATATGGGGATGTTATTGCTGTTGAATTTTATGTCTTTCTTGTTCTTATATACATATTATTAGATTGCAACTAGTGCATAATGTCAACTAGACGTCAGAGTGCATCCAATTTTGGTTCATCAGATACTGATGAAAAAAGCATTGAGGATGAATGTCTAATGACCTATAAGCTCATTATTGGCAACATAAAGGATAACATCAAATCGAAGGACCAGCTAATCCAAAGTAAGATATCATGTTTCTTCAGCTTTTATCAAAGTTAATATACATATAGAAGAATAAATGAAAATGTTTTGCAATAAAATCATAATGATAAATTAAATAAGAATATATGATATAAGACCCAAATAAGACTAATCCCAACTCAAGATTTTAATCAGTCTGATGAAAGGTACCTGATTGGACCAGAAACGTCACTGAGGTAACATTTTAATATCATCACCTCTTTGTTTTATAATAAAATGAAAAACCATTTATACAGAACCAGATGAAATCCTTCTATGATTAGGCCTCAAACACTTTCATATGTAGGCCTATGTAATTTGTGTTTTTCTTGTGTACTTCTATGTATATATATATTTAGATTACCTTTGTGTGTTCAGTCCTGTTTGTTCTATGTGTGATGAATAAAGATTATTGATTAATTGATTGATTAAATAAGAATTTGCAATATCACCAATCTAAAAATACATTAACATACAAAATATGTATTTAAAATTTACAATAGGAGAGAAAAAACCCCTTAGCTCGTAGCTAACGGTAAACAACAGGAAAACAAAATTATTAATTTTTTTTTTTTACTTTGACACAAAATCACAGTGCTACACCATGCTGGACGCAACCCCTCACAAAAGAATCTGAAATCATACTGGAAGGACAGTACAAGTAAGTTGTGTCTTTTTCACATCCATAAGTTGTAATATATATTTTTGACCTTCCACTTCACAAGTTAAATTGAGATAAAAGATGTTGAGCCTGAATTGTCTTACGTTTCCTAAAATGATTTAATTTGTTGGTTTGCATAGTTAAACTTGTTATAAACTTTTTTTTGTGCTTATAATTTCAAATTGATGGAAGCACACCGCATTATGGCAATGCAACATGCCCTCTGGAAAAGACTAATACATTATAAAGATGACAGTGGCTGTTGTTACACCAGTCTTAAGTGTGTCCTTATCCAATCCAATCAATTCAAGTCAAAAGAGGTGGAATTACAGTACTGTACTGTAAATGAAAGACCCTATAGAGTACTATAGTGTTACGTCACGATACTGTGTGATACTACTCCTTTGCTATTGTTACAAAAAGCGTTCAACCGGGCGCTATTTTCTCCACTGACAAACGATTGATCCCAATTTCTAATGTAATTATTAAGATGTTGTATCTTACTTTTTCTTTGTGAATTTTGATTGATTATATGTGTGTTCTATAACTAATATAATGCAAGCTTTTGTGTTTTTAGTACATTTACATCTATTCCAGAAAGCCTATGAAGTCATTCAGGCGTAATGAACGGTAACCAGCGTCTGTTGACAACAGAGAGCGCCACCTGTGGTACCCTATGGAAGAATGTATCACAAATATTGAGCACTTTTATCTTAATAGATAGTCTGACTTTTCAAGACTTTTGCAAGATTATGAAAGAGGAGAAAGTTCCTACCGAGAAAGATTTACAAAAAGCCTTTAAGAAGATTGATGTTAATGGAGACGGATTCATTACTTTCAAGGAATTGAAAAAAGTTTTAACAGCTGTAAGTGTTTTAAATTGTAGGCATAGAAAATGGTTTGTTTACTGTAGGGTGAAGGCTTCGGCGACACGTTTCTAGAGTGGCAGTGCCCATCTTTGTCCAATGTTTGCCAGTTACAGGTTTTGCCATCTGTGTCATCCTGTTTTCATCGCTCTGTTTCCCTTTTTTGATTAAGAGATCCACTTCATTATTAGAGAGCTGTTAGATATGACCTGCCCATTTTAGTTTCTTTATTTAAAGCAGGACCTATAGAATAGAGAACTGTTCCTCTGGGTTGCATCCCTAGCCTAAGTTAAACTTGCTACTTCTCACTGTATGCAGCCTTAATTCTCATGATTAATTTTGTACCAGAATAATGACTATAGTGTTTTATTTATCATTTTTTTATAGCGAGGTGAAAAAATGTCTGAATCTGAGGTAAAATCTATGATTAATGAAGTTGACGACAATGGTGATGGAAAACTTGATTATACAGAGGTAGGAAATTACCAAATTATTTAGACACTCACTAAATTAATAAAAGTGGGTGGAGAGCGATGAAATTATCTTTAGACTGTGTGGAAAACTTCAAGGCAGGGTGCCCCCGCCCACTATTACTACATCCCTGATCTAACAATAATCATAATAGGGCTTGTCTACCCATGCCCATCCATTTTATTTAAGTAAACACCATTTCTTTTTGCTGGACAGTTTTGTAAGATGCTTTTCTCAACTGTGGAACAATGCAAGAAAAAGGGTACCGATAAGTTGAACAGAAGAGAACGCAGGCCCAAGGAAAGTAAATCAAGAAATGAGTCATCTCGCCGTGGAAGTTCAAAGGGAGACACTAAACAAGGTGGTGAACTTTATGTATTTAATAATGCTATTAATTATCCTCCCCTCTCTGGGGATTATTTCTAGGTATAAATAATAATAATAATAATAATAATAATAATAATAATAATAATAATGTACATTTATAATGCACCATTATCCATCAAAGATGCTCATGGCGCTAAACAGAAATCGAAAGAGTTATTAACAGTTCGAATCTTAACTACGAATAAAAAAAAAAATAATAATAATAATAACCGTAACCCTGGTGGGGTAGGCTTCAGGAGTGCCTTTGCTTGCCCAAGGCAGAATCCCTAATTGGCAACTCTTAAGACTCACAGTGGGAAGGAACATCTCACGTTTCCATGTATGGGCTGCTCCTTAAGAGGGGAGGGGGGTCCCACACCGATGATGCCTGTAGAAGACCTTTCTGCTAAGCCCCGCCCCTTTGATATTTTTTTTTTCTTTCTTTCTTTCTTTATTCAATATCAAAATCGCGGTCGAGGACTGAATTAAATAATACTTACAATAATACAGAATAATAATATAAAAACATCAAAGAAAAGTAATATAAAAACATTGAAGGATTAATTATAAATAAACAAGACACAAACAGCACAGACATTCAGAAAAAGATTAAAAACATGAAAAATTGCATTATTTACAAATTTTAAAATTTTATCAATACAAATTTGCAATCAAGGCAGAATAAATTGAAATTTACAAAATTAAGGCAAGTAGGCAAATATAAAAACATCAAAACATCAATTAACCATGGGCACAAGACATAAAAAAGGAGATAAAGAATAACATTAAAATTGGAAACATAAGCAGCACACAACAGGTTAAAAAAAACTTAGGTAATAAAATTGATTATTTGCTAAGGTCCCACAAGACGACAGTGTTAAAACATATGCAAACATGATATTTGTGGGACAACGCGTGTGTTTGTTTGACACACTTGTATTCCTGGCCCTGTTCTGATTCAGTCAGTTATATTTGATTGACACCCCGGAAAGGTCATTTTAGCACTACTGATTTCTTTCCAGGTCATTCGTCTCTGACCAGGTACCAATTATACTCCTTAGGTGTAGAGAGGCAAATGTAGATAGAATGATCTGCTAGATTTTGAACCTGTCTAACTTTTCTAATTGCATTGTGAAATTCATAGAAAAACGTTCAAGTTCAACAGAATCCAAGTCAAAGAAACGGGACACAAGTTCAGCGAACTCAAAGCCGAAGAAATCAGAGCCCATGAAAATAAACCTACCAGCTGTGGTACATGTAGCGCCGCGTGTAACAGAACCACGCACACTTAAGTCGTGGCACCACGCTTTCAGCAAGGGTTGCTTCCATCTGGAGGAAAATGGTGTTGTTATTTCACATCAATATTTATTAGAATTACCAACCACTACCAATATATGGATGACAATAAAACCATGTATATTAAGACCAGGTGAGAAATATTATTGACTGAAATTTTAGAATTGTTAATATTAAATAATATTAATTTTTATAATATATGATTGCTTATATATTATTGTAAGTAAAATTGTACGAATATTATTATATTTTTTACATTTAAGTTAGTTTTCAATTAAATAATTTTCCTTACCAATAAACAGATGCATAATACCATCAATATATTCTTTGCATATACATTGGTTTGTAACAGAATTTGTCGTCGGTCATGTGAAAGTATTTTGTCATTATAAGACAGGACTTTTTTATACCTTGTTTAGCGAGCCTACCACCAACCTATAATGATGGTTTTGAATACAATTAATTTTTGAATTTTTGGCTAATTAGCGCATCCGCTGCAAAAAACAAATGGAAATTTCAGGGAAAAAAAAAATTTTGAATTTTGAACTTGAATTCTCCAAAAATATTAAGATGTATATTTCTTCCTAATTATGTAAATTTAAATTATTTAAGTATTTAACCATCCAATTATTACACTGTTTAAATTCAGCAATAAATTTTTATGTTTATTTTCTCCTCTGTCTGACAGAACATTTTACTAAATAAGAAAACAAAGTTTTGTTTTATTTTTTTTTCTGCCCTTCTCTGACAATCTTTAAAAATATAAGTCTGCGAAACAAGATAAAAACAGTCTTGTCTGAAGGATTGGGACCTAGGACTATGGGTTTGTTGGGTGAGAATTCACCTGTAGTACATTTTTATTTTAATTTATTTAATTCCTCCACATCCAACAGCAAGCACACTCACCACTTACAGGATGGAATGACACTATATAAACTAAGTATCTTTTATGAAGCTTAAAGCTCTGTCCAGACTATCAAATTTCATTTGACAGAAACATGTGACATGCTTAAATATGGTCATGATGACATCATATCATGACCATATATAGGCACATCATGACTATATATGGGCATACACCAGTTTTTTGTCGAGGAAAATTGAATAATCTGGACAGCTTAAAGGATTTGTCCACACTGTCAAATTTTCTTTGACAAAAAACTATATGCCCATATATAGTCATGATGTACCCATATATGGTCATGATGTGCCTATATATGGTCATGATGTGATGTCATCATGAGTATTTTTAGGCATGTCACATGCTTTTATCAAATGAAATTTGATAGTCCTGACAGGGCTTATGGGAGTGAACTTGTTTTTGGTTGTGACAAAAAAATCATGCAGTAAGAGTGTTTGAACCCAGCATGTATTTTCACACTTTTTAGACTTCATGGAAAGCGTTATTTATGCATTTTGTTTTTTCTTTTTTTATTTCAGATCAAAAGCACTTTGATATGCATTTGTTTATCTTGAAACAGAATGAGGATGGCACCCTTGGAGACTATGTAGGATACACACATTTAAAAAATCAACAGGTTTGATCTCTTTTTTTATTATAATTGGAAAAATAATAGTGTATAATATACAGAATTTTGTTACTGGCTATATTGCTGTATTATTTCATTTTTCGCTGTTTATTTTTTTAAGCGCCTGGAGCTTTTCTTTAAAAATGGTTATAAGCGCTATACAAATATTATTGATTATTAATATTTATTTTTTCTTCATTTTCAAAAGCGTACAAAACATAATCTTTTCTGTAAACAAAGAAACAGCGGACGCTTCATACTCTTGTGTATGCATTAAGTCTTTTGCGCTATGTCATCAAATTATTTTAACCGATTTAATAAATGTTCGCTTTAGTAAGCTTCCAAGTTATGAATTAATATTGTTATTATTAATTATTATCTTTCTCAATATTAATGTAATAAAAGTTAAGAAAACTATTCTAGACCTTGTATATTCACATTGTGGTGTTTTTTTAAATATTTTTCTATAGAAATTCTGTCTAAATAAAAGTTTCAAAGAAGGAAGCTATCGTTTAATCCCATTTACAACAGGCTGTCTGTTTAAGCCTCGAACAAGAAAGGTGAAAGACAAGGCAAAGTTAGTTGAGCAGAGCGGTGAGGAGTATCTGCTGACCAAAGCATTCAAGTAAGTGTAATAGACACATCCAAACATACTGATCATTGAGGTACTTTTCTTTTAGTATGAGAATCATTGGTTCAATATCAACACATACCAAATTTCCGTAAACCTTTATTTTTATGACAACATAGTATAAAAATTACCTCTTGTGGATTTCTCTCACCATCAGAGAGGCCCAGGCATATAGTCTGTATATATTGAATTATATACCGCATACATTGATTCTAGGCATCTGTTTAGTAATAAGCGGGTTTCATATTACTTTCTATACAAAAGAGATATCATAAATCATATAACTATTGTCCGACTGTGTGCATTGAACATTTGACGAATACGATAATTTCGCCAAATTCCAAACCGTAACTCAGGCTACGGGCATCGCTTGACACGTCACACCAAAGGGCCTGTTAATTAATCTTGCACAGGAGTCTGTCATCACGTAGCTTCCTCCTCCTCATCATCATCATCGTCTTCATCATCATAATTATTAATTGTCCATAGTAGTAGAAAAACTATGAATTCGTGTATTCAATAATTAACGTCTCTTATATTGCACTAAAGCATCTAGAAAAATTAACCGAAGACAAAGACTCCCCCACCCCATTTCTAAAATTTGTCTTCCTGCGACAGAACAAGCTAGCTCACTTCTTATGACTCCGCCCACCATAGGAACCCATCTGTGCGATAGCCAGGGTAAACTCTGGATCTGTGCTTGACATATATTTAGACTAGGAAAAAAATAAAAAAAAGAGGCCTAAAAATCAAGTTAGTGGGAGTGGAATGTTAGAAGCAGTCAACGTAGCCAGATATTCTAATTAATCTGTCCTGGTCACCCTAAGCCCTGTTGACACTTGTTTTTTCACCTTGTCTAAAAATGGCGGCCATTTTTCAAAATACTGTATATCTAAAGTGTGCATATAATTGGAACTAAATAAGCTACAGATATGATGTTGGTGTCTAAACTCATAATTTCTATACAGGCAACAAACCAGACATATAAAAACTACTGTCACTCAGGCCAGAATGGAACATAATTCAAAAATAGGTGTTTATTTGTTTTAAAACAACCACAAAATATACTTAAAATGTGCATAAAATAAGAATAAGTATATAAACCTACCAAAAGTAGTTGTGTTTTGTATCGTTGGAAAGCTCTTCCAATGCTGAATAATGTATTGCAGTTTAAATATATCAGAAACGGTGTAGTGTTTCATATAATTATTGTCCAATTATGGCATATCATATTAAAATAAACAGGACCCATTTTCGTAACTCGTGAGCTCTCGTGGTGGGGGGTTGGGCGCTCCTACAGCTACCTAGCACATTACTACCAAGCCTTAAGTAACGCATGTGCTTTCTGGGTGAAGTCCGAGTCCAAATGGGCACTAGAGAGGCCACTACTTATACTTACAGTAACACTGATACTCAACACTCTCCTACAACGCCTTAACAATACTTAACATTTTCTATAATTTTCGAAAAAACCAAATAGGCCTAGACCAAAATCCCACAAACACAATATTTGGCAGATTTATTAGAAGGGCTTCTTTCAACTATTCCCCAGGATGCCCCACTATGGAGGTTTGACCAGTTATGTAATGCCTGTGTGCTTTCTGGTGAAACACTTACTTCCTCCATGTCCAAATTAGTCCCGGAAAGATGGCCCCTACTTACTACCGAGCAATCTAATAATACAACGCTTTTGACAAAATATTTTCTTTTAATTTTTTTAAAAATGTATGAGTCCCGGACAGCTGCATAACTACCCACCTTAAAATCCACCTCCGACTTTAAAACATGTCAATAAATAAAGAATAAAATACATGTAGGCCTATTATTAAATATACACAGCATGTTGAAATCGATTAAAAAAATGTATACAATACATTATAGGCCTACTAATAATTCGGATATTCGGATGATAAACGCATGTAACATCATCAATTGGACCTTAAAGGACGATGGTCATTTTATTCAAATTGGCCTTATGTTTCAGAGCAACATAATTTTTGGTATCAAAGTGACACTTTATTAAAAACAATCAATGAAGTTTGTTTTATACTCGAACATCTTTATATTAATATTTTCAAGCCAAATCGTAGGCTTACTATACACTGTATTATGGCGGAAGTAAATTGTTGTCCGTCTCTGAATTTAAATAGTGTTACTGTAATCATGGAGGAAGAAAATAGATAATAGAGCCTATTATTAAATATTGGAATGGTACCTATTTTTGGTTTTAACATTCTCTAACTCATTTTCTTGATCTGCTACTTTTTAATGTTCAGTACAATTAATTGTTTAACACTATGCTTTCTTAGATAAGATAGTATATATAATAAATACTCCAATACGATGGCCTGCATTTTGATACTTCGAGTATGTATTATACTATCTTAATATCTGATATTAATCAGTGGACCTTTCGGTTTATGCTTTCTTATGTTTGTATTTCTATTTTCTATCTATTTCTGCATTGCTCCCCTATTCGAAAGTGTGAGTTATTTCCATTCCTCAAAAGTCAAAGCCTCACGCAATCAACTACCGAGTTTCAGTTTCTGTATAGGTTATAGGCTGTTGTAAGTCTCAACTTTTTTAACTTAACTTATATTTATAACCAGGGAGCAGAGCAGCTTAGCTCAGTTGCCTAAACTGGTGGTAGCATCTGTGTGCGCTGAAACGTGGGGATCTCTAGGTCTCCGATTCAAATCAAATCAAATCGTTCTTTATTGCATCAGTCAAAATGGGTTGAATTTTACAAAAGTAAAGGGTTCAAGCAAAAAAATTTAAACAATCAACATTTAAACATTTTTCAACAAAAAGGACCCACATCACAAAAACAGCAAACGGAAACAGGTTTAAAGGGCAAAAAGGCAACCAATATTAAAATTATTATAATCATTATTATTATTATTATTATTATTATTATTATTATTATTATTAATATTATTATTATTGTAATTACATGGCCTGCATTTTGATACTTCGAGTATGTATTATA